CGATTCCCCAAGAGAGGAAATTTAGCAAAAAAAGGATTTTCTTAACAACAGAGTAGAAAGCGTGGGAAGGTGATTGGCAGCAGGCGGTCTCTCAAGTACCCAGGTCCAATACCATGAAGTTGAAATAATTTTAGTAAAAAAGCTCACACAATCCCAAGAGCCAGCTCTGGAAGATATATTAGCTTCCGCATGAGAAGTAAATCATGTATGTCTTCCATCCACCTTCTCTGCAACCACCATCTTTATTATTTATATATTTTATTAGATTTATACGTCTTCCCGTCTCTGATGCTTGACTCTGGGTGGCTAACAATATTAAGAATAATAAAAACATAAAAACATACACACAGCAGACAGGGAAAAAATTATAAAACCATCGATCCCTCGGCACAAGTAAGATGAAGGCTTCGTCACATAACTGTCTCCCAGTGTTGTCCAAAGATGTGTCCAAAGACATCTCTGTGGTATTGTGGCCGGCATGACTAAATGCCAAAGGCGCATGGGATGCTGTTCCCTTCCCACCAAAGGTGGTTCCTATTTTTCTACTTTTTTACGTGCTTTCGAACTGCTAGGTTGGCAGAAGCTGGGACAAGTAACAAGAGCTCACTTTGTTACGCGGCGCTCGGGATTCGAACCGCTGAACTGCCGACCTTTCTGATCAACAAGCTCAGCATCTTAGCCACTGACACTAGACATACCCAGTTCCTGCAGCTGTTCTTCATGTGTTTTAGCTTCTCCAGTTCCTTAATCAACTTTCTTGCTCTTCTCTGCACACTTTCTAGAGTCTCCGAATCTTTTTTACTTCTTTGAATTGTTCTGCGCCCTGGCTGGTGTGAGGTTTGATGGTCTCCAGCCATTGTGTTCTGGCTGGTTGATTGTCTCTTCTGCTCTTCTGTGCACTGTTTGTAGCATCTCAACATCATTTTAAAACAGTGGCGACCAAAACTGGATGCATGCTATTCCAAGCGTGGTCTTACCAAGGCGTATGATATGAACCGAATCCTAAGTTTATTCCCTTATGCGAACTCTTTTGAAGGAATTGCTTGATGAAGGAATACGTGTCTCTAGAAACATGCCACATTTTTTCTCTCCAAGGACCTTCAGATATTTCCCTAGCAGAAAAAAAGAGAAAAGAAATATTGGGGAGGGGAGTAGAGACCCTTTCCTTTTTTTCAAACGCAGCTTTAAACTACCTGCTTTCTAGGTGATTGTTTTGTTTTCTCTTTGAAAGATGACAAACCTTTTGCCTCCTGGGTCAAAAGTGTGTAGGGGGGGGTGGAAAGACGACACATATGCACACAAAATGCAGACACGCCATCTCTAAAGGCTGAGAAAAGGACACTTCTTTCTTTCAAAGAACGGCTAAGGAGTTTTTCAAAAAAAACATTTCAAAGCCATCGTTGGAGTTCTTGTGAAGGGTGACAGCATGTCAGAGGAGAATCTCTATAACTTCTCAAACATCCCCTCCTGTCTTAAAATCCTTCAAATTTAACGTTACGAAACAGTTACTCTGGGAGGAAGGTAGTAATTTATCGCCACGATTGTCCAGAATGTCGTACAACTTTTGTAAGAAGTTGCAATGCTCAAATTGAGCTATAGAACCATTTTTTTTGCCTAGAAGATTCATAGAAGCAGATGAATGCTTCAGGGCACCAAAGACTATAAATAGCAGAATGCTAAACATCTAAATACTTAAGCCTAAGTAATTAGATTATAAACTATGTTATGAATAAAATACCACACACCAAGTGCTAAACGAATAATACTCACTAATATCACATCTATAAACTTGCACTCATCCGAGAAAACAGGAAAAAAACAACAACATACAAAGGAAAAAAAAAGGTATTGAGTATGAAATGAAAAGAAGGATTAGGGGTGACATAGATAGCAGTCTTCCAGTATTTAAGGTCGGACAGGGTTCAAGCTATTCTCCAAAGCACCAGATTCCATGGCAAGAAGCAACGGATGGAAACTAATCAAGGAGAGAAGCAACTTAGAAATTTCCTGACCCTTAGAACAATTAATCAATTAATAACAATTAATTAGCAAGAGCTGAGGTGGCACAGTGGTTAGGGTGCAGTACTGCAGGCCACTTCAGCTGACTGTTATCTGCAGTTCGGCTGTTCAAATCTCACCGGCTCAAGGTTGACTCAGCCTTCCATCCTTCCGAGGTGGGTAAAATGAGGACCCAGACTGTGGGGGCGATATGCTGACTCTGTAAAACCGCTTAGAGAGGGCTGAAAGCCCTATGAAGCGGTGTATAAGTCTAACTGCTATTGCTATTGCTATTGCTAATCAGTGGAACGATTTGTCTCCAGGTTTGTCTATGGTTGATCCATCACTGGTGGTTTTTCAAGAAGAGATGGGACAGCCATTTGTCTGGAATGATAGCGGGTCTCCTGCTTGAGCAGGGGGTTGGACTAGACGACCTCCAAGGTCCCTTCCAACTCTCTTATTCTCTATATGAGACCCTAAAATTAGAAGAATATTTTCCTGGGTAAAGCAACGGCAGTTGAAAGAAAGGCTGTGACTCTCTTAGTGGCAAAAAGCCATTAAGATTGTCCTAATAACACGGAGGACTTCTATTAGCAAGCCAACTTATGACGGTGGGTCACAGGTCACTGTAGAAAGGACGTATAAGGAACACCCTGAGGCTCTCCATGCCAGAAGAGCAGGTTCCTGCTGCAAATGGGGACTTTGTTATTCCTGCCCCCCCACAAAAAAATAATTGTAGAGGGAAGGACATAAACCTGGGCTTGACCCAAAGGTCTAACTTATGTTGGGCAGATAATCCCGAAGAGGCAATGAAGGCTTTCTGATTTATATCATGCTAATAAAGACGATAGAGGGACATGGTGGCTCAGTGGCTAAGACACTGAGCTTGTTGATCAGAAAGGTTGGCAGTTCAGCGGTTCGAATCCCTAACTCCGCGTAATGGAGTGAGCTCCCGTGACTTGTCCCAGCTTCTGCCAACCTAGCAGTTCGAAAGCAGGTAAAAAATGCAAGTAGAAAAATAGGGACCACTTTGGTGGGAAGGGAACAGCGTTCTGTGCCCCTTCAACATTGAGTCATGCTGGCCACATGACCACAGAGACGTCTTCGGACAGCGCTGGCTCTTCGGCTTTGAAATGGAGATGAGCACCGCCCCCTAGAGTCGGGAATGACTAGCGCAGATGTGCGAGGGGAAGCTTTACCTTTAATAAAGACGATCTAGTTTCCCTCTATTCTGCCTGGAGAGCCACGATGAACACCTGCAGTTCAATCGTGACTCTTTCTAACACCACGCCAGGAGAGTTGAATCCAAGATGACCTAGATAATTTTGGACCTGACTTTTTGAAAATAGGGGAGCTGGGGGGGGGGAAATCATTCAGCTGGACTATGAGACGCCGTAAAAGAGAAGCCCGTATTAATGTCCCATATACAGGGTGGATTTCAGGAGGATGAGTTGTACTCGAAAATTGGTCTGGCAAAGGTCTTGTATGCCTTTTGTAGGTGAATTCTGTTTTCTTCCCCTTTCTGAATTGAGACATCTGCAGATTCCGGGGGATAAAAATAAATAAATAAAGGAGAAGCAGAAGGCTTTGTTAGACTTATTAATAACACATGAAAATGCTTCCCTGCGCAGGGAGGGACTTTGCATAGATAGATTCTCTCTTTGTGAAGGGTTTGTTTATCTGTTTGCAGCCAGAACCTCATGCAGGCAGGGAAGATATTTTTTTCTTCCCGGTAATGGTGATGAGGTGAGCTTTGCGCTGATTTTAGCAAACAGATTTTCTGCCTCCTACCCTCCTACCCACCCACCCACTGGCTTCTTCTAGTTTGATAATCAGTGCATATATGCAAACTCCATTTCCCCCGCCCTCCCCTTATTTACAGCTGATTGGATACAATAAATTAAAGGAGACACCCGACCATATTGTCCGTTTTTCTATCCTGGAACCAGACAGTTGCAGCCAAATGTTCAGAGTGCGCCCCCCCCTTCCCACGCTTTCTACTCTGTTGTTAAGAAAATCCTTTTTTTGCTAAATTTCCTCTCTTGGGGAATCGGAGGGAGGAAAGTTTGCACCTGGCTGCTTTGCATTCTAAGGAGCAGCTCCGAATCCTCTCCATTTTGCATTTCCTCTTTGAACAGGTGAGCACATAGTTAAGTACATTCTCCAAATAGCCGTAAACCTGCTCCCCTGCCAGCTGATTTCTTTTGGCTACCGTTGGCTTTAAGGCTCCTGGAAGTTTTATTATTTCTGAACCATGCTGAGTCTTTATGCTTCGTCCTAGTTCCAAGGCATTGCTTTCCTTCTTCTTCTTTCTTTTCTTGACAATTCGGAGGTGGGTGCGCAAAAAAAAAAAAGGGTGCCAGGTCACCCCAGGTGCTATCTAAGCTGATGAATCTAATGAGAATATGTGAAGCTGATGACTGCGGCAGAGGTATAACCATTGTGAGAGATAGCCAAGCTGTTGTGGAGCTGGCAGCAGATTCGGACAGTGAGGAGGTTGGNGTTTTAGCCTCCAGTCCCCTCATCATCCTGGTTGCTCTTCTCTGCACTTTCTCTAGAGTCTCAACATCTTATTTATAGCATGGTGACCAAAGCTGGATGCAGGATTCTAGGCGTGGTCCTACTTTCTTCTTCCTCCTTTTCTTCCCTTAGAAGTCTTCTCAAGAAAAGATGTTGGATAGGATTGCATCTTGGTCTGCAACACCCCAAACTAAAAATAAAATAAAATAGAGGAAAGTTTATTTTAGGGGTGGCAAAACTTATGGGCCTTGAGGGAGAGATAGCAAGTATGAAAAAGTCCAAAACAGCTGAAGTCAGGAAGAATAAACACCCAGGAGCAGGGACCAAAATCACTTAGAGATACAAGGACGAGCATCTGGTGGAAGTTGTCCTAGTAAATAAAAGCTCCTGCTGATATAATGCATAGCTTTCTTGGAAGCCATACAGAAAGGCAATTTGTTATCGCTTTTTTGTTACTGATATTGTGGAAGAAATTGGAAATTGCCCACAGAGAGGTAATATTCCTCGAATTGTCTCATACTTGACTTCATGTTTGAGGTTTTGTGGAATCTGTGCATTAAGAATAGTAGTTTGGTTCACGCTTCATGGACCTACCTGTGGCTGGAAAGCGGTGCTTGCTGTAGCAACAAAAATGGAATATGTGCAAAAGGGAAGCTGGTTCAGCAGATTAAAATATATATCATAATAACACAAACAAGAGCAAACAAATTTGGAGTTCAACGCTTATAGATCTGTGTAGCAATAGCAATAGCACTTAGACTTATATACCGCTTCATAGTGCTTTTACAACCCTCTCTAAGTGGAATACAGAGTCAGCCTCTTGCCCCCAACAATCTGGGCTCTCATTTTACCCACCTCTGAAGGATGGAAGGCTGAGTCAACCTTGAGCCAGTCAGGATTGAACTCCTGACTGTGGGCAGAATTAGCCTGCAATAGCAATAGCACTTAGACTTATATACTGCTTCATAGTGCTTTTACAACCCTCTCTAAGTGGAATACAGAGTCAGCCTCTTGCCCCCAACAATCTGGGTCCTCATTTTACCCACCTCAGAAAGATGGAAGGATGAGTCAACCTTGAGCCTGGTGAGATTCAAACTGCCAATTTTCAGGCAGCTGGCAGTCAGCAGAAGTAGCCTGCAGTACTGCGCTCTATCCACTGCGCCACCACGGCTCTTTACAGATAGTCCTCGACTTACGACCACAGTTGAGCCCAAAATTTCTGCTGTTAAGCGAAACAGTTGTTAAGTGAGTTTTGCCCCATTTTTACGACTCTGCTGGCTCCATTTGTTAAGTGAGTCGCTGCAGTTATTAAGTTAGTAACACAGTTGTTAAGGGAATCCGGCTTGACTTTGCATGCCAGAAAGTCGCAAAATGGGGAAATCGCATGACAACAGGACGTTGCAACTGTCGTAAGTACATGCCAGTTGCCAAGCATCTGAATTTTGATCACATGATTCTGGAGACGCTGCAACGGCGGTAGAAGTGAAAAACGTTCGTAAGCCCCCTTTTTTTCAGTGATGTCGTAACTTCGAACAGTCAATGGACTGTTGTAAATTGAGGTCCACCTGTTTAGGCTCTTCAAGGCACGTTTGTGTGAAAATACGTGTTTAGGCTCTTCAAGGCACGTTTGTGTGAAAATACGTGTGCAAGAAAGCTAAGGTTTCCCTTGGGTCAGGCTGAACCTCCTCCAGCACCTGCCAAACGTCTGAAGCATTGAAAAATAATCCAAAGAACCGTTTTCATTTTACCCAGATTAAGAATTTGAGCGTCATGGTGAATGGACTGGAAGTGTTAGATAAGAATAACGTCCTTGCGGTTCGCCGGGAAGTCGCTGCGCTGCGGGCTAAATTGGAGGAGTGTGAGAAGGCTCGAAACCAGACCGTCGAACATCCCTACTTCCCACCTGGTGAGCAGTTTTTAAATTTGTTTGGAAATGGAAATGTGAGCAGCAGGGAGTGGATGCAGGAAAGGAGGGGGGGGGGCTGGTTTCGCTTGCTCGGGG